CATGTACAGGTACAAATTCCCTGTGATGAATGTTATCATTATGTATATCTAAAATGTACCAACAAATGTTTTGCTAAGAAAAAAAAAGAAAAAAGATTATAATCTCAAAATCCATCCATTTTCCTCAAATTTACTCAAATTTATCCTTCTTTATGGCTCAGTAATACTCTGTTGTGTATAAATACCTCATTGTCTTTTTTGGAGTTTTTGGTACCGGAGATTGAACTCGGGTCCTTGTGCTTTCAAGGCAGGCAGCGGAACCACTGAGCTAAATCCCCGGCCCTATACCTCATTGTCTTTAACTTTTTGTTTGTTGACAGTCATCCAGGCTGTTTCCATAATTCAAGCTAAGCACCCTTGAAGAAGCAAAGGGAAGGATTATTGATTGCCCATTTGATGTGTCCAGGGATCAGAGTTTTAAATATGACAGAAGTTTGGGATCTACTTTTCATGTTCTACATCTTAAAGTATCTGAAGGTTGTGAGAGTGTAGGACTGTAGGAAGATCACAGGAGCAAGAACAGCCAGATAGCTGTCAAGGACCATCACGGGCCAGGGATTTAGCTCAGTGGTGCTGCTGACTGCCTCACAAGCAGAAGGTCCCAAGTTCGATCCCCGGTACCAAAAAAAGTCGGTGGAAGATGAGTGAAAGACAGTGAAAGACAGCTGCTCTTGGGAGCCGTAAAAAAGAAGACAGTTTGTAAAGATTCCTGAGATCTCTCATTTGAGATCCTCCAGCTGGGATGTCAAGGGCTGTGTATTGCCTGTTGTCCTTCTATCTATCCTGGGATTTAGCTAGTTCTTTACCATCACGGTGGCACCAAGAGCCAAGAACTGTCCACCTCCAGATGACCTGGAGTCTTAACAACTCAGACATCCCTGAGTGAGTTATGCCTACTGCTGTGCAGCTGAATCTTTTGTCTCTGAGAAATTGCATCCAGAAAAGATGGGTTCTAGTCAGGTGTGGTACTACTGTAATCTCAGCTACTCAGGAGGCTGAGTCAAGAGCATGGCAAGCTCCAGGTCAGCCTGGGCAATTTACCAAGACTGTCTTAAAAAGGGCTGAGGGGTGCAATTCAGTGGCAGAGTACTTCTGGGTTCTATCCCCAGTATTGAGGGTGAGGAGAGTTGGATTCTGCATTTGAAAGACTGTGCTCAAGTTATAATCCCAAAACAGTCCCCTTGGCAGAATGCTTCCCTAATCAGTCCCCACATCCCCAGTGAAACTTTAAAATCATAGGGAAAACCAGTGTCTCTTACATCAGCCTTTCATCCTGGATCTTCAGCAAAAGAAACTGAGTGAGTCCTGCATTGTCAGTTTGTCTTTTCTCCCCTCCCCCTTTGGTTTCTTTACTTTCTGTTTTTTATTTTTGTTTTCTTCTTTTTTTTTGAGACAGGGCCTTTCTGGGTAGGTCAAGTGTCGTTGAACTCACTATGTAGCCCAGGTTGGCCTCCAGCTCAAGGCAATCCTCCTGCCTCAGCCTCCAGGGTGCTGGGATCACAGGTGTGCACCACCATACCCAGCTTAAAATCTGAATATATTTATAATACAATGAGATGAGCCATTCTGTTCATGACCAGCTCCTTCCTCATGTCTACTCAAAATGAATCAGATGGACACTATCTTTGGGGATTGGCCTTCCTAGCTCTGGCTGCATTTTTAGCATCCTCTGACTCCCTGGTGCAAGTGCAGGGCTCAGTAATACTAAATAACCAACTGTACCACTCGGGATCCCAGCAGAAGCCAATTGGCACATTCAAAGAAAGATAACTGGAGGAGGATGTAAAGGGGCTATTTACAAAGGAGAAGTTAGGGACAGGACAATGCAAATACACAAGTATGGTGAAACAGAGCTGTTACCAAGCCAAGGCCACAAGAGAAGGATCCAATGGATGAGTAGTCCTAGAATCTCAAGTCAGAGATTGGTGTATGAAGGGCCACCTTGAGATGGGTGTAAACTTGGATGGGTGCAGCCAGTTTGAGAAAGCTCTGCAGAAAGAAGCCAGAGGGATAAATTCCTTAACCTCACTTTTCTCCTTTTCTCTAATTTGCCAAATAGAATAGCAAGCCAGAGAGTTAAGGGTGTTCACTGAGGTCCTCCAGGGTGGAGAGTGGATTGGGAAAGGGCAAAGGGCAATTATCTGATTTATTAAATAAATTAAAAACAAGCTCTGCATAGATTAGTGATGACCAAAAATGGCCAGTGATAGGAACTAAAATTAGAGTTTATCCAATTCCTTTAAAAAATCAGTTGAACACTAATCGTTTATATTGTGCCTTTAGGAAAAGTAAGTTTCTGTTCTATGATTGGATTTTCAAAATCTGAATTACCACTACTCGTGTTAACAGACGGCCTCGTGTTAACATAACAGACTTTGACATAGTATGTTTTTGATTATGAACATTCTCCTGTCTTAATATTCTGGCATGTAGCCACTAGGGTCAGCCCCCTCATCTCTGTCCACTGGGGAAGAACCACTTGGTGGCCAGTCTGGCTGTATAGGAGGTAGAAAACCATTTGGGTCCCACGAGGGAACTCAACCAGTAGGCTGTCCAGGTCTTTCTCTCACTAGAAGTCCCTGAGAGGACACTAGAATATGATCTCTCAACCAGGTAGAGTGGACAAAGCAGGGTAAAAATACAGAATTTTGTGGAGAGACCACAGCTCAGGACTGCAGGTGGAAATCCACCTGCCCTATCTAACCTTCTCATCCCACTGAAATAAACCTAGAAAGTATATTTTCATGCTACTGATGGAATAAATTAGTAAGGAGAGCCCCTAGCCAGACACTGCCACCAGCAGGGTAAAGCTCTGCCCCAGTTTCTCAGTGTCCAACCCTGCCTGACTGGTCCCTAAGAACAGGAAGAATGGGTGGTCAGCCACACAGAGGAACTCGAGGGGCTTCAAAGGTTATTCTGGATCCCAAGCTATCTTCATTGCTGGCCTAGGGTTCTGTCTGAAGTTTCCACCATCAAGTTATTCTTTTATGTTAAAAATTTGCTACCAGAAGTCCTCTGCTCAAATGCTCTCTCTGGTAAGAGGGTGTGGTGCTTAGTTGTTATTGTCTTTGCTTGACATCTCATTTCCTTTCCTGTTTTGAGGAACACTGCTGTCTGCAGAAAGCAGGGCGCATCTAGACCCCTCACCCAGAGTTACAGCATGTGCTGTCCCAGCTCTTTTGTGATCTAGGAAGGGACACAACCATGAACTTGCTCCAGACTGTGCATTGGCTAACAACACAGTAGAATTTGGGGAGTGTTTATTTTGGTGGTGGGTGGCAGTATCAGTGGTGATCCTGTGGCAGTGGCAGCAGTACTGAGGGTGGTAGCCAGTATTAAAGGGTGGCTGCGGCTATATTTTCACAATTATTGTTCCTGGTATGGTTTGAGCTGTGGTCCCAACTTTGGCATAGCAGCCCTTGTTACAGTTCATTTGCCAAGCCTGATCCCCACCCTTTCCAGAGTCTGGAGTTTCCCAGAATCCTTTTAGTAATCTTTCATACTGCTTAAGCCAGAATCAAGTGTCAGGTAAAAGGTCGAAGACCAAGACCAGACCAGGCCACAACAAGCCTTTATCAGGGGAATAGATCTGCCGGGCTGTCTCTGAACAAAGGAGAGACAAAAGCAATATGGCCAGGGCAGGGAGAGTCTTTTATAGAGACTGAGGTGGGGTTTGTAGGGGCTGAGGCAGGGTTGAGTGAGGTAGTGACTAGAGAATGGAGAAGCCAGTGACATCACTGGATGGTAGGAGGTGAGCAAGTATTAGGTTACTCTCTAGGCGGGAACAGGGGCATGCTGGGAAGAAGGGTTTGTTCTTTGGTGGGAGCAACCATCTTGGCATGACGTCACACAGGGGAGGGGCCAAGGCAGAATAGGAAGAGGGCAGCTACTATACATAATAGCTGCTGAGGTAGTGGGAGACCTATCGTCAAGTTTCTTTGCAAGAAATTAGCAGCACCAATGGATACATAGGCATCAGACATCTCAAGGCTAGCCAAGATAGTCATTTGTCTAGCTCATTGTTGGTTTAAGACATAGCAGGACCCCAGGGAAAGGGGTTGTGTTGATGGGGCAGAAAAATCAGGAATCTGGTCTTGTGGGCACTGACTGATAGAGGTTGCCTAGAGGACTAGACAAAGGTTTCAGGGTAACCCGAGGGACATCCAAGGCACTAGGGTAGAGAGAGTCATTGATAGGAAAGGTGGGGTGATGCTAAGGGAAAATTTTAATTTGCTAAAATTACTAGAAGGGCTGGCACTGATGCTATGCAATGTGTAGGGGCTGTGTCTTCATTATTTTTTTCCCACAGAGGAGCACAGGAAATGTCCACTATTCACTGAAGGATCAGGGAGAGAGCAGGTGAGGAAGCTAGTGGGTACCAATGTTCAACACTGACTAAGAAGTTGTGATTTTTGTGAAGAGTAAGAGAAGTTAGCAGATTTCACTCCTTTCTGCTTTCTTCTTTACTTTCCCTCAGAATAAGCAATGTGCCTGATGTTCAGGTGATTTAATGGATAAACTCTGGGCCCAGTTATTGTTCTTAGTTTTTTCATGGAAGGGTCATGTCTATCCACCAGAGACTTGCCCTGGGCCCTTTCTCACTGCAGTGACAATATGGCCAATACTGAAGATGAGAGTTCTCATCGCATGGCAGACCCTGCAGCTCTGCCTTCAAGTTCATGTCTTTGGAGAGTCTCTAGGGCACTATTACCCTTCCTAGGACGTGCTCTTGTAGTTGTGCTTGTTGTAGGGTAGCAGAGGATTGCTACCTTTTCACTTTCACAAATGTCACCAAGGGAAGAGAACTGAAAAATAATCCAAGGTACACTATGAAAGGACATTACAAAAAGATAAAGAAAAAGAAACTAGCTACATTTGATTTAAACTATATTTGAGACATGTTGTCTTTTATTTTCATAGAATATCTCTTAATAAATATTTTACCAGGATGATAAAGATGAATCACAAGGATACACAAAGGACTTGAGGGGACAAAGGAATGGAAACATTTTAATATTTTAATTTAATCCTCAACTCAAGAGATTCAGTTTCTGCAACAGACTTTAAAATCTAGCAAAGAAAGTCTCCTTCTACGCCAAGAGCAACTTTTTGTTTACTTGTTTGTGACAGGGTCTTGCTATGCCTTTCAGGCTGGCCTTAAACTCATATGTAGCCCAGGCTGGCCTCCCTCTGCAATCTTACTGCCTCAGGCTCCTGAGTACTGGGATTACAGGCATGTGCAATCACGCCTACCTCAAGAAGCAAATTTCTAACTACTCTTGGCATGTGGCCACAGTCAGTATATGGTGGAAAAGTGGCATCGGCTCTTTATGACTTGCAGCAGAGGCTTCTTGAAGGTGAGGACAATGACAGTGCAGGCCACCAGCAGGGTGAGGCAGCTTGGGAGGATAAGCACGAGGTAGAGCAGGCCCATGTCCACCCGCTCCCACTTGCATCCCTGCGGCCCACCTGCGGGCAGCTCCACCACTCGGATGACCTTGGAGGAGAGGTTGCAGGTGACCATGGCCCAGTCGGCTACGGTGTGCAGACGCTCCAGGGCTGCCGGGCCGTCCAGTCCGCAGCAGTCGTAGGGGTTCTGGCTGAGGTAGACAGCGCTCAGGCTCTCCGCAAACTGCTCCCACTCAGCCCGCGCAGGCAGCGCGGTGAGCCAGTTCCGCCGGAGATCTAGGGTCCGCAGCCTGCCTTGGAGCCTTGGGAAGCTGGTTAAGTAATTTTCTGACAGATCCAGTTCCTTCAGAAGCTCAAAGTCCGAGAAGTCCAACTTGGTCGAGACAGGGCTGAGGCCCACATTCCTCAGAGACAGGACCTGCAACGTGGGGGCAACGGCCCTGAGAGGGGCCATACTTCCATTCAGGACCCCCCAGTTGCCAGACAGATCTAAATGAGTGAGGGGTGTCCCTTGGAATGCGCAGTCCTGGAACACCCTCAGCCCACAGCCTTCCAGAGAGAGGATCCTCAGAGATGCTATATTCCGGAAGTCCACACAGCCAGGGGCGCCCTCAGGCTTGGAAGGAACGGGAAGCGGAAGTGGCCAGGGACAAAGAGAGATCTGATTGTGGCTCAAGTCAATGGTAGTGAGGTTACTGGCATCTGCAAAGAGGCCCGTGGGGACGCCCAGAAGCTGGTTGTCGCTCAGGTTGAGCAGGCGGAGGCTCCTGAGGCAGCCGGCTAGACCCGGGGCCAGGCGCAGCTCTGACAGCATGTTGTGGCTTAGGTCCAGCTCGGCCAGTGTGCCCACGGGCTCTCGCTCCCGGAAGTACAGCGTGGCCAGGCAGTTCCGATTGAGGTTCAGGCGGGCCAGGGAGGGCATTTTCTTCAGGAAACCATCGGGCAGGTACTGGAATTGATTCTGGCTCATGTCCAGGAAGCGAAGAGCTGGTAGATTGCTCGAGGCAAACTCCTCCCAGAGGTCGACAGTAGTAACATTGGTCACGTTGCCATCCACTAGGAGGAACTGGGCCACCATGTCCTGTGGTGAGGAGGTGTTGTACAGGTCTTTGTAGAAGCCCATGCTATTGTCCTGCAGTAGGAGGCTGTGTAATTTGCTGCACTGGGGCAGGAGAGGGAAAAACAGCAACTGGTTGTGAGACAGGTCCAGCATCTCCAGCTCAAAACTGGTCTCTTGCCTGGATGCCAGGAACCACTCAAGGCTGTTGTAGCTGATGTTGAGGACGCGCAACTGGGAGAGGCCAAAGTCCACAATGCAGGGGAGGTTGTTGTAGGCCAAGTTTAGGCGCCTCAAAAGTGTCAAGCCATCAAAAGTGCCGCCTTCTATCTCAAAGATGTAGTTCCTCTGCAAATCCAGTTCCGTGAGGTTCTCCAGGCCCTCAAAGATGGACTCATCAAGCCTCATGAGGGTATTCCTGGCCAGGGACACAGCCTCCAGGGAGGAGAGGTTCTGGAGCATGAGGGATGCCATGTCTTCTGTCAAGGAGTTGCCAGATAGGTCCAGCTTCTGCAACCTCTGCAGGGTGTGGAGAGCAGCTGCTGTCTCCTTATAGTTCTCCGAGAGGCTGTTGTCAGCCAGGGCCAGACTTCGAAGGTGGCCTTGCTCCTGGAAGGCGTGGCAGCCAAGGCACTCCAGGTGGCAACTGCGAAGGCTGAGACTCTCCAAGAGACGGTAAGGCTGGAGGGAGTGATTCCATAGGGTCCTGAGAGGGTTGGCATCCAGGATGAGCACCCGGGCGTTGGGCAGGAGGCTGGTGGGCACCGAAGCAAGGTTCTGCCCTTGACAGTCTGCAAGGTCATCCACCTAGGTTCAAAACCACATGAGTCAGCACGGAACATGTCTGGAAGGCAGAGGTTTATGCGTAGAAACTTTGTTCACTTATTGGACTGTCCTTGCAACCACTGAGAATGACTCTAAAGATCAGAACTCTTGGGCCAGGGATTTAGCTCAGTGGTGCCATGCCTGCCTTGAAAGCTCAAGTCCTGAGCTTGATCCCCATTACTGCAAAAGGGGGGGGGGGCTCTTAAAAATAAGATATGAAGCCAGGCATGGTTTCGCACACCTGTGATCCCAGCACTTGGCTGAGGCAGGAGGATTATGAGTTCAAGGTCAGTCTGGGATACCTGGTGAGACCCTGCCTAAAATCCCCCCTAATAATAATAATAATAATAATAAAACAGGGTAGGAAAATGTTTTTTACTTTCACACTTTAAAAAATAGGTAGGTGCCGTGCCTGCCTGGCAACTGCAAGGTCCTGAGTTTGATGCCTGGTACAAAAAAAACCCAAGCTAGGAGCAGAGTGCCAAGCCTCACTTAAACCAGTGTGTTAGAAAAGACCTGACCCCCTGTTCATCAGGTGCTGAGAGGTGACAGTTATACCTGCCATGTTGTAACTATGGGGATTGCAGACTAGGTCTCTACTGGGATTTGAACTCCATCTCTGCCATTTATTTTCTCTGAGATCTTGGGAAAATAATTTAGCCTAGGCTTGTTATTTCCTCTGAAAAGAATGGGGATAAAAACATTACCTACTTTTGAGGATTGTAGGATGAAAGGAGTTGCTTGTGAAGAGTTTAGCCCAGTGCCCAACACACAGTTGCCACTTGGAACATGGCTCCCATTGGATTGTCATCAATGTGACATAACATCTGTGTATCTAACAGAGTCACCACCAACAACCAGCAACACTATGACAGCTTCATCTCACCCAAAGTAATTTTGCCTATGAAGCTTCTTTACATTCTGTATCAATAAATCTTACAGCTTGAAAGTCTTTCAAGTTGGTCAGCATTTGCATTCTACAGAGAAGTAAAGTGGCCTGGAAGAAAGAAGGGAAGAGCCAGTGGCAGTTCTGGGACCAGAGCACAGGGCTCCCAATGCCTAATTCATTGTTCTTCCCAAATGCCCTTCTACATGATCTGTGGAGTGTAAGCAGGCAGGAGGGATGGGGCAGCCCTGTTCACTGCAGAAATCACACAAACCAGGCTAATTTACTTCCCGCCCACGTGTGGCAAAATTGGCAAAAACAGTTTAGCTGCAGGATGTCAGGTAGGTGTCCAGGAAAAAAGTTTTAAATGGTAAATTAGGGGAGCAATGTTATTCCTTTCTACAAGCTGGTCAGTAAGACAGGCCCAGCGATGGCCAAAAATTGTGGGTTCAGTCCCTGAGGGCAGGTGGAACAAGGAGAAAAGTCCTGAGGGAGAGGAAGCGGCCCAGGTTGGGGCACTGGTCAGCTCTGCCACTTGCTAGCTTTGGACCCTGGGCAAGAACTCACCTTTGCAGCCTCAAGTTCCTTACTGATTTTTAAAACAAAACCTTCTAATAATTACAAAATGATGTTGTATTGAAAAATAGGAAACTAAACTCTTCAGTAATCTCATCCCCTCCATCAGAGAAATGTCGTCAACTTTTTGTTACATCTCCTTCTGGCTCTTTTCTAGAGATATACCTTTTTTTTTTTTTTTTTTTTTTAAGAAAAATGAAAGCATGAACAGCTTGTAGAGTAACTTCAACTTTCCTTCTCTCTCACTAATATATGATACATTGCTTTGGCAGTAAAAAATTTCAGCACACTTTTCAGGAACTGTAGTAGTTAGTTCCCTGCATGAATAGCAACTGTTCTAGGTCACTTTATCATGGCTCTGTGCTTCTTTTTGAGACAGGGTCTCTATATATAGTTTAGGCTGGTCTCAAACTCACTATGTAGCCCCAGCTGGCCTCAAATTTGAAGTAATCCTCCTTTCTCACCCTCCTGAGTGCTGGGATTACAGCCGTGGGCCACCACACCCTGTGGCTCTGCTTTTGTTGTTTGTTTGTTTTGATGCTGGGGATTGAACTCAGGGCCTTACACGTGCTAAGTGTGTGCTGGGTCACTGAGCTATACACCAGCCCCTTGGCTCTGCTCTTTATCAAGTGAGTGACCTTGAGATGGTTACCTAACCACAAGGATTTCCTTTTTTTTTTTTTGGTACTGAGGATCGAACTCAGGTCCTTGAGCTTGCAGGGCAGGTGGTGGAACCACTGAGCTAAATCCCCAGCCCTTCAAGGATTTCCATTATCTGTCCTGCAAAATGGAAATTATACTTGTAATTTTTTTTAGTGTTGAGTATAATTGCTTATGCAAAACATTTATTATGGGGCCGGGGATTTAGTTCAGTGGTTTCGCCACCTGCTGCGTAAGCACAAGGACCCGAGTTCAATCCCCGGTACCAAAAAAAAAACCCATTTATTATGCCTAATAAGTGTTAGCTGTACTTATTAGCATGATATGCTTAATAAATATTAGCTATAATTAGTAGCATGATCTACTTAATCTCCCCATTGAGCCTTTGAGTTACTTTAATTTTCCAGGAAAACGTTAGAATGAATCTATTGTGTTCCTTTCACACCTCCACTCTCCCTACCCTAACTATATCTTTGGAATTGTGATTGGGGTTGTATTACCATTATGGATTAATTTTGGGGAAAACTTACATTTTACCAAATTGAATCTCCCCACCCAGAGACAAAGTTATATTTCTTTATTTGAGTAACTGCTGGTCTCCTCCTCCCATGGGGACTCTCTGAAAAGTGTTGTGGTTAGGGGTTTTCCTCAAGATTGGGAAACTCTTGGGCCGGGAATTTAGCTCAGTGGTTCAGCCGTCTGCTTTGCAAGCTCAAGGTCCCGAGTTCAATCCCTGGTACCAAAAAAAACAAAAACAAAAACAAAAAAACTACTACAAGTGCTGTAGTCAAAGGGTCAGACCTTGGTAATCCCCTGTTGATACTCTCAAGTGCCACCCAGGACTACAAGGACATCAGAGCCCTAGGAAACCTTACCATGTTGACTTTCACTTCAAATGACTGATGTAATGAGGGACAATGGAGGGTACCTGGACTCTCAAACACATAGTCCTGAAATCAAAAGAGCTTCAGGAAATCTACTCTTTGAGCTCTGTGCCAGAGTCTACACTGAACCCTGTAAGGTGGTCAAAGAATTCATGATTTATTCCCTTCTCTTCCTGTGGCTGGAGATCCCTGAATTGCTACTGTGAGGTTAATCTTTTGTTGCCTCTGTAAGGGAATGGTGGAGGTCAAAGGTAGCAGAGATTATTAATAATACTAATGATAATAAATAAAAACACAGAGCACTCACCACAGACCAGGTACTGTCCTGAGTGCTATACACATATTAACTCATTTAATCACCATAGCACCCAAGTGTTATTCTATTATTGTTGCCTCTATTTTACAGATGAGGAAGCAGTGACATAAAGTGCCCCCAATGTCACCAGCTAATCAGTGGTGGGCTGGGGTTTAAACCGGGTCATTAAGTTTATAACTCCTACATACGGGAGCTTTCTCCAGCCTGGTGGTTAGTGGTTACTACAAGTGGTTCAGAACCACGATGGTTGATTTTTCTTTTTGGCAGTGGGGATCAAACTCGGGTCCTTCCCCTTGCGTAGCAGGCGGCAAAACCACTGAGCTAAATCCCCGGCCCTGATGGTTGGTTTTTTAAGATTAATCTGCTTTGGAGTTGAAGGCCAGTGTGGGCTACATAGTTCAAGGCCAGCCCAAATTACATAGTGAGACCTTGTCTAAAAAAAAAAAAAAAAAAAGATGAATCAGCTTTAAGAATACATTCTTTGGGCCAGGGATTTAGCTCAGTGGTTCCGACCCCTGCTGCACAAGCCTGAGGTCCCGAGTTCAATCCCCCAGTACCAAAACAAAACAAAACAAAAAAAAAAGAAAAAAGAATACATTCTTTCCCCAGCACCACAAACAAAACAAACAAATGAAAGAATTCCTGAATGTAAGTATTAGCTCTGACAACCAGTTTGTATCCCTAGTGCCTGGAGTATAGCAGGGCTCAAGAAATGTTTATTAAATGCATGTTCCTCAAGCATACTTCTTTTTTTTTTTCAGTACGGGGGATCAAACTTGGGGTCTTGTGCTTGCAAGGCAGGCAGCAGAACTACTGAGCTACATCCCCGGCCCTCAAGCGTACTTTTGATATCACTGGGTTGTCAGCAAGGAGAGAGTTTTTGGAAATGAACTGAATTGTGACCTAAGTCTGTTCCTGCATATAGGCTGAGAGCCGCAGAGAAGGCTGCTGTCGGGGCTCAGGAATCCACTGTCTGGATCTTCTTAACCTAAGCATGGCCACGGAGCTGTTGCGCAGTGCAGTGTGGGCAGCTGCTCACTGTGGGCTGTCTAAGCATTTGCTGTTGGCTCACACAGAATGGCAGAGGCAGGGCTGCTCCAGCTCTAGTTTGCCTCCCCCAGCAGTTCTGATACTGCCTGTGGAGCTCGGACTTTTACCAAGATGTTATTGTGCCAAATGGCTGACCTCGGCCTGTCTCTGGGGCCTCCTGCCTTCAGCAGGTATGAGAAAGGAGGGACAGGGGCTGCCTGGCTTTTTCCCCAGGCACCATCTTGAGGACATTTGGTTAAAGAGCAGCTGCACATGGCACTGGGCGAATCAGGTACAGAATGAGTCAGGCCCGTTCACTCCCTGTCCTCTCATTGACAACCCATCAGCTTTTTGAGCAGACCAAACCTTGTTATGACAGGAGCAAAAGAGAAGTTAGGGTTTGAGGAGAGACTCACCAACTTGCAGCCCCATTGGGAAGCTGCTGTGGCCACGCCACTTCCATTCCTCCATTGCAGGGCCGAGAAGTGAAAACCCAGGCAAAGCCACAGGGGCAGCAGCTCCATCTCAAGTGCAACACTGTGGACAGAGGCAGGGAAGAAGCAAGTAAGACAAGGACATCCCGGAAGGCTGCTTTGCATTGGGTAGGAGCCAGTTCCCCATTATGTCTGGTCTCAGAGGCCCATACCTAATGGAGATGGAAACGCACAGATTACTCAGGTCATTCATGTTAACCAACACTTTCAACAAAACCATTGACAAGAACTCATTTTCATTTTGCCCCTTCCATTTGATGGGCAGGTGACTGAACTCTGAAACTCCAGAGTCCATCACAGAAGGAGAAACAAAGGACTCAAACAGGCCTTAGGACACCTTGAGTGGCCCTGGCTTTGTAATTCTGTTGAAGTTTTCCTCCCTTCAGTTCAACTCTGCCTGATGCACCGCACAAGATCAAGAAATATATGCTGAAAATCTGGCTGTGGTGGTATATTCTCTAATCCCAGCACTCAGGAGCTAAGGCAGAAGGATCATTGAGAGTTTGAGGCCAGCCTGGGCTACATACTGAGTTCAAGAGTAGCTTGAACTACACAGCAAGACTATCTCAAAAAAAAAAAAAGCATAGATCTAGGGGCTACCGATGGTACAGTGGTAGGGTGCTTGCCTAGCATGCCCTGGACTCAATTCGCTGCAGTTCACACAGAGGAAAAAAGAAAAAAGATTTTGTTGGTTAACTCATTTAAACATAGCCCTTTGAAGGAAGAATTTTCGCTAGGCATGGTGACACCACGAGTTCGAGGCCCACCTGTGCTACATAGCAAGACACTGTCTCAAAAAAGAAGAAAGAAAGAAGAATTTCGATATTTTACCGGTATAGAGGAAAAAACCTGAGGAGAAAATGAAAATAAAAACATCTTCAGATGTAATAAAGATTACTGATGAAGGGTGGCCATCAGCCCTCCTGCCCTGCCAGGGCACACAGAACAGTAATCATGAGAAGGCTTGAAATTGTACCTTTACCAACAGAATTTTAGAACTGAGAGGAACCATGCAACATTATGCCCCTCCATCACATTTTACAGGGGAACAGACAAAAGCCCAGAGGTAATAATGGCCTGTTAGGCTTCCAGATCAACTGAGTGGCAGGGCTGAGAGCAGCCCCAGGTCCAGCTGCCCGCGCTCCAGGATGAGTGGCCAGTACCTTCTCCCTGTGGGCGCCATTGCAGACTGCCCTCCTGTTAGGAGAGTTGGAACCCATGGATGCCCCTCCCAGCTCTGCATTCCTCAGAATCAGGGATAAGTGCCTGGCTCTGCATTCCCTCTGCTCCATCCTCCTGCGACATCCCTGGGCAGGTTCAGGAATCGCCTCAGTTTAGCAGAGTGCTCACCCAAGCCTCCCTCTCTGCTCCATGCCACTCACATATCTGCTGGTGCATTGAGGCCACCATCTGCCCCTTCCTCTTTCCCTTAACCCATCCCAAGTTTACCCATCTCAAGGACTAATTTTAACTTCTGTTAAGATTTGAACCCTTCCTGGTGAAAACAGTGTAGCAGAAGACCTAAGTGGATCCAGGTGAGTCACCCTCAGACTTCACTTACGGCCAGGTCACTTCTCCAGACCACAGAGAGAAACTGTGATTCAGAACTCAGCAGGATGCACTTGCAGATCTGGGAATCCCCTCTCCAGCCCTCCTTCTACTTCTGCACCTGTGCAGGGATTATTACCTCCTGGCCTTCAAGGACACAGATGGCAAAAGCAGAGCCAGATGGGCTCCTGTGCTCCGATTCCTCCCACACATCCTGAAGCCTTGGGATCACCACCCACCTTGATCGAGACAAGGTTGCCAGATTTAGCAAATGCCAAGACGCCATTTGAATGTCAGAGACAAACTTATGCTAAAAAATTGTTTATCTGACATTCTAATTTTACTGGCTGTCCAGTGTTGTTTTGAGGAGAGATGGGGAGACGGGAACTGTAGACAGACTCCCTCCCTTCCCGTCAGGTCTGGGCTGCAACATGCTGCTGTGACTCTGATCTTTCTAGCACAGCCAGCCCCATCTACTGAAGTGCTGATGGGGTACAGGGCAAGAGTACGGTTCTTCAGCTGCAGTGTAACTTCAGATGAACGCTACATAGCCCTGGTGTCCCTTACACCCAGGAGTGTAACTTTTTTCATTTGTGGGTCACCAGGAATTTTGCAGATTTAAAATATAGCCTCTCTTTTCTCCTAAGTGTAGCCAATCAGTTCAGAAAAAAAAAAAAAATCTTGCTATGTCCCAGAACAACCCATTCTGGCAGGAAGCAGCAGAATTTGGTGGGAAGATTATAGACTTTGAAACTCAACAGTCCAGAGTTTGAATTCTTGCTCGGTTACTTCTTCTTTATACTTGAGCAATTTATATAGAGTCTTCAAGACTCGGACAATCCTTCTATAAGTCAGGAATCATAATAAGTATTCACAGAGTTTTCTGAAAATCACATAGTATATGTGAAAGTGCTTCATTAACTGTAAAGGTAGTTAATAACATAATTATTATTTTTGAGTTCCAGACACCAATGAGCTAGGGAAATGGTTGTTAGTCTTCTCCAAGATAAGTCAACAGCTACACAAAGCAGGAAAAAAAAAAGAGTGAATAATTTGGCTGAAAGGATGACTGTATCATGATACTAATTAAACATGTAAAAGGTAAACAGGAAGGTTGGGTTAAGAAATTTACATTGATGATTCAGGAACAGATGACTAATCCCAGGGACAGATGACTGTGCGGGTTGAGAGCTATTTGTCCTGAAACTCCCATCTTCCCTGCTCTTCTATACCCTGGGTGGCAGGGCCTGGCTTCTGAACGCACTGATTCCCAAACAGATCAGCTGGCTTCCAGCAGATTTGGTCAGTAAGAGTCTCAGGAAGGGACGGAGAGCCCAGGACAGACAGAGACACCCTGGTGACCCCTACGATCAGCTGCCCCATGTTGCTTCCATCCTCACCTTACCTAGGGAAATTGCTGATGTCTCACTGACCATCTATTGTCAGTTTGGCCTTTCTGCTCTTCTACCATATGTTACCAGTTTCCTGAATTAAGTCTCCTCTGTTTCAAGCAATCTGAGTGATTTCTGTTTCCTGGTTGACAATTGACAATGGCCTTGAATTCAGCAGTACATGAAAAGGTACATAATACAATGACTCTGAAAAGAGGTAAAAACCCTCCAAAATAGTAACCATTTAGGTTAAGAAACACCGATGTAGACTGGGCAGCTACAGAAGGCTTCTGCAGAGTCACAGTCCTGGGAAGCGTCCAAGACGGACAGCTTGGGCAACAGAGCCCTCTTCCCAGGACAGAACAGATGCTTCCCTTTCTCCCCACCCCTCCCACCCGCTACTAGAGCCACTTCGGGGGACAGGAACCTCTGTGCTAAGGGAGCTGTTAGCAAGTGTTACGAATACACGATTGATCGCCACATTGAGGATTTTGCCCTCAAAACAATTAGATAAGCTGAAAAGGCTGTAGTTAAAGAAAGAGGTGTAGTGGGATGGGGAAGCTATGAGGGTGCTTTGTATGAGAGACTATTTACAGATTGGTCTGAGGAGGGAATCTGCAGAAGCAGAATATGCAGGAGCAGAGTGACAGTGTGACAGTGACGCCCATGAATAATCAAGAAGCATAACTGCAGTGCTATATTAGACAGAGGGTTCCACAAATCTGACTTCTTTTGTTTGTTTGCTTGTTTGTGTTTTGGGTTTTTTTTTTTGGTACCGGGGATCAAACTCGGGACCTTGCACTTGCAAGGCAGGTACCAGAACAAGTGAGCTAAATCCCTGGCCCCATGTCTGACTTCTTTTAAGGAGCAGTTCCCAACTAGGTTCTTGGGAGAAAGGGAAGGCCAGAGAATTAAGAACAAAACCTCAGTCTGGGGCCAGGGATTTAGCTCAGTGGTTCCGCCACCTGCCTTGACAGTGGAAGGTCCCGAGTTCAATCCCCCGTACCAAAAAAACCCCACCTCAGTCTGTGACCACTGCAAACAATTCCTGTACCAAGAAGAATTTAACAGCCCTAGGCAAGAGATTTTGGTCCCTTTGATTCTTAGCAAAAAACATTAGGGTAACTTCAGCCTTCACCAATGTCCAAGCTTAGCATCTCCCATGGAGAGGCCACCTGACATTCTGAGTCCCCAAGAGTGGTATGTTGGAAACACAGATGGCCGTCCCAACAGTCCCCTTGCCAAAAATGCATGCCATGCATGCATGACATGAATCCAGCCATGATCCATCACAGATGCAGGAGGTGTGATGTCCTACAAATCAGCTGGTGACAACTGACTTGGATTCTTCTTCTTTTTTTTTTTTTTTTTTTTGGTACCGGGGATCTAACTCAGGTCCTTGCACTTGTGGGGCAGGGAGCAGAACCACTGAGCTAAATCCCTGGCCCCTGACTGTGATTCTTAAAGATTCAGTCTTGAAAAATGAAAGAACCAGGTGTGGTGGCACACACTTGTAATCCCAGCACTCTTGGAGGCTAAGGCAGGAGGATGACAAGTTCCAGTCCAGTCTGGGCAATTGAGTGACTTAGTGAGACCCTGTCTCAAAATTTTAAAAAATGCTGAGGATGTAGCTCAGTGTAAAGGCCCTGGGTTCAATCCCAGGAGAGTGCAGGGTGGTGGTGTCCTAGATTACAAGAAGCATAATAACTAAGTGCAATGCATGAATCCTGAGTGGATTTTGGATTTTTAAAAATCTCTGAAAGAAGCCAAATGTGGTGGCACACACCTGTAATCGCAGCATTTGGGAGGCCAAAGCAAGAAGATAGCCATGAGTTTGAGGCCATCCTGGGCTACATAGTGAATTCAAGGTCAGTCTGAATTACACAGTGAGACCCTGTCTCAACCAAAAAAAGGAAGATGGCAGAATGGTGAGCAGGAGAGAAACAGCCTCTCTGAGATTTGGTGTCTAAATACAGGAATATACCAATGTGAGGAAGAAGACCCAGCAAGGATTTGAAGTGAAAAGTGAAGCCTATGGGGAGAGCTAAGAGACTTCAACGAAGAGGAAGGAGGCAGTGACACTTTCTTCTTGAGCCTTGACTCACTTTGTGGGAGGGGTGGCTTGAACCTGCAGATGCATGTGACTATTGGCAACCTCAGAGGATTCCATGGAGAACACATCAGTAGGACAGAGCAGTGGATGCAGTGGACTA